GGGGGGGGGGGGGGGGGGGGGGGGGGGGGGGGGGGGGGGGGGGGGGGGGGGGGGGGGGGGGGGGGGCATCCGCAGTTGGCTATGTTGCCGTAGAACCCAAAACTTTTGCGATGTGTCTCAGTGGACAACCGGGCAATGCTGTTTCTCCCGGCGACAAATGTGCATGCTTGCATGTGCGTTATTGTTTACCAACTTGACTTTCATGTGGGGCGGCTGGCGCGGGAAATGGGGGGTCGTGACTGGTTTGTGCTCGGCGGCATCGGGCGAACGACGTCACGCCTTCCGTCGCGCCCCCTGGGGAAAACACGAGATGGAGAGACACGCGCGTCAGACTTGTGTCGCAGCCAGGACAGCCGATGCCCAAGACCAAACACTCGATCACAAATAAGTGACTACCCAACAACAAAGACGGCTGTGTGTGTGTTATTTGCGCGACGTTACCGCTCACCCCGTGCCGCCCTTTTCCTGTCATGTTTTCCAGGGTTGCCGGCCTGTACGTCATACTCGACCTCCACGGAGCCCCCGGCTCTCAAAACGGCCTGGACAACAGCGGCTTTACCAGCCCCGATCCAAACGAGATAGTGAGGCCGCGTTCCTTGTTGCTCTTGTGTATGCGTTTTTGTCGGAATTGGACGAGATGGACCACCCCCACAAGCTTTTTCGGTGGCCTTTGTTGCTTGCCTGTTGTCATCTGTGTATTGGTGTATCTCGAAGTGGATGTGCTTGATGCCAAAGCAGGATGTTTCATCGTGATTCACTGCCCAAACGCAGCAGCAGCAGTAGTAGCAGCAGCAGCAGCATGATTTATTGCGTTGGCTATCGTGTCCTAGGCCTGGCCTCACCATCAACTCGTTCACTTGACAAAAATACGCACATGGTACCACTTTTTCGAGGTGGTACGTATGATACAACGCCCAGCGACGATAGCGCCAATCAACGCGCCACATTGCCGAGGTGGCTCAACCGACCTGCAATGATGCTAAGTTTTGTGAATAAACGTCCACATGCCCAGTTGGCTTGTGACCACGGAAGGCGTCCGCGTCAGTCGGACCAGTACAGACATTAGGAGGCACCGAGAGGAGATGGGAACGGTTTTAATGTGTTAGAAGACAACAACAACAACAACAACAACAACGCCCGCCCGCAGGTATGGGGGGAGACGTGGATGTATTCTCCCGAAAACAACGGCAACACTGTCCGCATCCTCGCGGCGATGGCGGAGTACATCAACCACATCGAAGACTCCTTCGGCCTCGACAACATCATGGCGCTCGAGCTCCTGAACGAGCCTTGGGCACACCTGGTGAGATGGATGACAGCAGATGGGACCTTGCCTGCTATCGTGACGCGCTGTTTGGGTACAACTTCATGCGAAGGTTGGCGAATGGGGCTCATGCTTCTTGTCGGCTGTCGGCAGGGAAAATGATGAAGGGTTGGTGCCGTTGTAAATGTACCATCGGAGGGGGAGTGGGGGGCGCGAAGGATGGGCCAGGTCGAAACAAGGGATTGATAGATGGATGATTTTCTCCCTCCGGGCAGAGCTTCAAACAAGAAAACACGACGATGAACATGACAAGGACTTAACAACCCAACAACAACAACAACAACAACAACAACAACAACAAAACGATGGTAACAGTAACAGTGTTGACGACGGCGATAACAACGCAGGACCTCGGCCGCGTGCGCGACTTTTACGTGACGAGCATCACGGCGGTGCGGCTGGTGCGGCCCCTGATGCCGATCATCATCCACGACTCCTTCAGGGGACCCATGTGGGCCACGCTCATGAAGAACTTCCCGTACAAAGACATCGTGATGGTGAGGAGACGCTTCGATACGCCGTAGGTAACCACACACCCCTTTTCGTTTTTTTGAGAGCTTTCCTGGAAGAGTGTGCAGCAGAGAAACAGGTCGGTGAAAAGGAGCGCATGTAAACTGGAGAAAGAGAGTGTTTGTTTTATCAGGAAGAATGAGAGCGGAGGGCGGCGTTTCGTATGGCGCAGTCGGGATAATGGTCTACAGAACTTCATCGTAGATATGGGGAAGCCCGCACAACCCACGACCTCGCCTCACGGTTGTAACAGGAGCCACGCGATTGTTCTGTTGTGTGTGATGACGGATGGTGAGCGCGTGCGTGCGATGTATCGCCCGCCGTCCTGTTCGTCGTGTTTTTCGCCGACCACCGACCCGCCCGTTTCCTTGTTTCCCGAAGTCTTCTCCTGACCTCATCGGTTTTGCTCCCCGCGAACTGCTTCTTCGTCCGTGCCGGATTTTTGTCGCTGTTCTGATGTGCGTCATGGGTGTCATCGGTATGACGACCCTAATGCGGCCTTGCCGGTGATGGTGACCATGATGATGACGATATCGTGGTAATGGATAAATTTCCACGGCACAGGACACTCACATCTACCACGGATTCAACCCGGTGAGGCAGCGCTTGATCTTGTGGCTGTTGTTATTGTTGTTCTTGTTGTTGTTGTTGTTGTTGTTGTTCTTGTTCTTGTTGTTGTTTTTGTTGTTGTTCTTGTTGTTCTTGTTGTTCTTGTTGTTCTTGTTGTCTTGTTGTTTTTGTTGTTCTTGTTCTTGTTCTTGTTGTTGCTGTTGCTGTTGTTTTTGTTGTTGTTGTTCTTGTTCTTGTTCTTGTTGGTGTTGTTGTCGTCGTCGTCGTCATTGTTGTTGTTATTGTCTTTGTTGTTGTTGTTGTTCTTGTTGGTGTTGTTTTGCGTATGTGGTGCTTATCGACAGTTGGCAGCGTGTGCCTCACAATAAGTTCAGAAAACGTGCATGCTTCGCGAGGCAACACGCATTCCACCTTCTGCTTTTCATCCCCTTGAACTTGTGCTTTATGTTCCTCCAACTACTGTGTCCTCGTTCTCGCCGAGACTACTGCTGTCACATTCTTCTGTACGGTTCTGACCTCTCCGTGTTGCGCCTCCCCTTTCCCCGTTCAATTCGAGCTTCGTTAGCACACGCCTCGTTCTAATTTCCTTTTCTCACCTTTGCACATCACTGTTGTCGCTGTCGTCGTTTTGTTTTAATCATGTTCGTATTTTGGTCTCAGGCTGATCTCTCTTCGGACACGGCCGTAGGAGACAGGTACGGCGAGAGCTTGATTTGGGACGGATCGGAATGAGACGGGAAACATGGCATATGATGTTGTCATTCGAGAGAAAATGCAGTTCCCCACCCTCGTGGACGGAAGTATACATGCAAAGCGCCATGGAAAATCGTGGGGAGTTAGGGATCATGCCCGTTGCTGTAAGCATTTAGGGCCATATTTGAAGCACAGCTCACTGGTAGTTGTTGTTGTTGTTGTCGTTGCTGTTGCTGGGCATGCGCGCGGGGTGTGCCCAAACCCGTGTATGGATTCCAATCGTCTCTATCTAGGAGCTCGCGCGTGGTTGCGGGTAGCAGATAATTTTTCTCGCCGAACAACGAAAACAAATATAGCTGGTGCATCATGAACCCCCCTACCCTCACCCTCACTCACCGCTTCGAGGCTGGCCTTCACTCTCACGGGCTTTTTTTTTTCCAATAGAAATGACATGCAAGACCGGCCACTGTGCAACCGAATTTGTGGTTGGAATCGCTACATCCGTTCTTCTATTGGGCCTGGCTATAATAGCGAGGATGAGTCTGGTGACAACACAGCCGCCCCACCCATGGCCTCCCGGCAACATACATGCCGCCGGCACACCAAATTTCGCCCTAACCCCTGGCGCGCGCCCCCCCTCCCCTGTTGCCCATGTCGGTTTCTCGGGCGTGTGCCGCTGCAGGCAGAAGATATATGTGCATGAGCGTATGGCGTGCTCGTACACGTCCATGCTCCGGTACCAGACCTGCGCCGTGCTTCCGGTTATGGTCGGGGAGTGGTCGCTCGCCGTGGACAACTGTATGCCCTGGCTAGACTCGAAGTGAGCATGCTCGCTCGTGGCTGCGGTTGTTGCTGCTGCTGCTGCTGCTGCTGCTGTTGGCGCTGTTGTTCTCTTTGACGCTGTCGTCGTTTTTGCTTTGATGTCACCCAAGAGGAGTCGAAAGGGATCGGTGATTCTGTATGAGAGACCGCTTCACGGATGGGCAGCGATGCTTGGCGCCTTGTGCATGACGTTCATGCGACCAAGAGGTGATGCTTAGGTGTATGTTTAGGGTTGGACGGCCTCGAGATAACCCCAGTGTCCAGGAGGTTCCTTTCCCCACTCGCTGTTGTGAAGACCTCCAACACATCCCCTTGGGCTAGATCGAAAGGGTTGCAGTCTTTCAGTGATTGTATATACGGTGGGGGTGGTGAGCCCCTGCCCGGTACGGTGCCGGTGAAATCTCGTGACAAGGATGGGACATTCAAGTTGTGTCATTCCCTGAATGGTGCCGGGTGTCCACTATAGTGCCTGTTAAAATGGCGGGCACATACCGGCACTAATGAGGGCCCCCCGCCGTATCGGATACCGTACTTTTGTAATTTTGTCAACAAGGAGCACCGTTTTTTGTCGTATCCCTTGCCCGGTGCCCACAGGTTTGCCGACTTCGGTCAGTGCGATCACCTCACGGAGAGGGAAGGGAACAGCTGGTGGTCCGAACACACGCGGTCCTTCGCCATGAGGCAGATCGACCGTTACGAAAGGGAGATGGGCTGGGCCTTCTGGACGTGGAAGCTGGAGGACCACCTCGGTGAGTCCTTCCCCCCCCCCCCCCCCCCCCCCCCCCCCCCCCCCCCCC